CTGGTGTTGCTGGCCGGCCTTGGTGTTCCTTGTCTGTGTGCACACCACTTCAGTCTCTGCCTCTGTACTGACATGGTGTTCTCTCGGTCTCAGTCTCCTCCTCATAAGGACATCAGTCATATCGAATTAGGGTCAGCCCACCCTCATTTATTTTTTTTCCACAAATATAATTTTTTATGTGTCACCATTTAATATCTGAATTTTGAACAGATTCTTGGACTGCATACATATCTGTCAGCTCGTTCAACTTTAGCACCTGTCTCAGCCCCAGTAGCTTGACCAGAACTACTATCTTCACCATGAAGCTCCATGACTTTTCCAATTGAATCTTGGGCTCTTTCAGCATTTTGACTTTTCTAACAAAGACCTCATGAAGTGGAAAACCAGATTGGCAAGCCTTTTCTATGTCTTTTCCAATGCTATCTGGAATCAGTTTATTGACCACTTCTTTCAAGTAATTTGTCTGTACCTCTTGGGTCATGATTTCCATCATCTTCTGGATTTGGCAGACCTGTTGATACTGAGCCTAAGAGGTCTCCTAAATCTGATTGTTGTGTTTTCTAGTGAACGCAATACAGAGTAGACAAAGCAAATAATCATTGGTAATCTGGACATCAATATGTGCTTTAATCATGGTCTGCCATATTTTTGCCCTTGGAGCACAATGTTTTGTCCTTGAAACACATTTTTTCATTGGTAAGATCCATGACATGAAAATTAGTCAGTAGTTTTTGCCTTGAACATCCTCAGTAATTCTCTTAAATTTTCTAAATGCAACTTGATGTATTTTATAGACCAGACATCATTCCTAATGACAAGGACTAAAAAGAAAGGTGATAAGGATTGCTAGAATAAATGGAAAAACAATAATAAAGTCATCTTAGAATCTGAAATAAAAAAGGCATTGCTGAAAACAGAAATATACAGTATAGGCATGAGACAACCAAGCCAAATGAAGTTGGCGAAGCGATATGGAAGAAAACAGAGATTTGAGTGACCATAACTGAGTCCCTGAAGGAAAGATTGGAAAGTATATTAAAGGTTACAGAGGAAAGCTTTCCTCATAATAAGTCATAAAAAATTGATCCAGGTGCATTCAACACTGATTCATGCCCAGTTAATCTTTTTGGACTTTAAAGATTTCCATTGGGGCATCTGGGCCAAAGATCACATCACGTACAAGAAAGGAAAATCTCTATAACTGCATTCAATGTAAAAGGCACTGACACAAATTCTGCAAAAGTTCTTGGCAATAGACATATTTTTCAATGTGTACGAACACATGGAATATAGCACTCATGAGCTCTTCTTTAAAACAAACAAAAATATAAACCATGAAACTGTAATCCAACCAATAAGGGATGGATAGGGAACTGCCTAGCAGACTCCATCACAGAGCTCTCCAGGGGGCAGCTCTCTAGACCATGTTCAAATCACTGAATCTCACTATTATCAATAATGGTGCTGGCAAACGGCTACAGTTTACTCCAAATGTCCTCAGATTCATGGTTACCAAGCAACACTGTTAAGCCATATGTTTTATGCCCTGACCCATGGTCAATAGCATGCAAGACTTTTAGTATAACATCAGGCTACTTCTGCTGCATGGACTGCTGGAATAAGTTCTCACAGGACCGTTCCCATTCCAATCCTATTCTGATTTTTTTTGTTTGTTTCTATACCCAAAATACATACTTCTAAGCCTCAAGATGCACATGTATTTAATTTCAGTTCAGTCTTCCAGATTGCCTTGCAAAATAGATACAGCCATTTATATCCCAATTATGCACAGGAATTCTTGACCAACCATATTGTTGCCAACACTGGGTGATATTACTCTTCTACTTTATGGACATACAATAATTTTATTGTTTATTTTTATTACTCTGATGACAGATGTGGTTGAGCATCCCTTTCTTTACTTTATTCCCAATTTAGTTCTGTGAAAATCCTGCTTATCTATTTTACTTCTATTTACAGTGGAATTTTCAATAATACTCCATTGTATTGGGGGGAGGGTATATTTTATATAGTCATCTAATCAGTTTCAGATGTTGTAAATATTTTCCTGTATTTTTAAATCTATTCTTTAGCTTTGTGGTTGAACAGCAATTCTTAATTTTGATTTAAATCCTTACTTATCCCCACAGATTAAATGCTTTGGGGGATCTTTGAAAATAAATCTGTCCTATCCCTAAATGTGGCTCTGCTATTTTTCTATAAAAGCTTTACATTCTTCAATCCATGTGCAGTCTTCCTTTGTATTAAATAATATTTTCTACAGAGAATAAGTTAGTTTTCCCAAAATCAGTCTCCTAATCAATCTATTATTTCCCATTGCTCTATATTATCATCATTACCATAATTACAAATATATCAATACATATCAATTAGAATTCTATATTGGATAGGATAGATGTTTTTAAAAAGTATAAATTTCCAAGAACTTACAAATAAACCCTAGAGATCTAAAGCACAGTATAGTGAATATAGACAACAATATTTTATTAAAATCACCAAATTTGCTAAGAGACTAGAACTTAATGATTCCAAGCATTAAAAATAAAAACTAAAAAAAAATAATAATAATAATTATGTAACATGCTAGAGGTGCTAAATATCACTACAATGGCTATTATACTATATAAAGGTATGAAATTAACCTGTTGTACACCCTATGGTAAAATATATGTCAAATATATTCTAAAGAAAAAGAATGTGTTTGTTACTCTTTTTACTTTTTTAAGTTGAATTAGCTATTTGTAGACTTTCATATATTTCACAAGCAGTGATATGTGTTACAGCTGAAATTTTTATTGTGACAGTATTGGATTTGTAGATAAACTTGGGGCAATTGTTTTTGTTTCTGTTTTTTCTCATGTTAAATCTTATCTCTATTGAACATTATATCTCTCCATTGCTAAAATATTTCTTTATGCTTTTTATTAGAGTTTTAACATTTTCTTTACAACATCTTTCATTCTAAAAATAAAATTTAAATCACATGTCTCCTATATTCTTTCTATCATAAGACTGGCAGAGGAAAGTTGACCCTTGAACAATGTAGGTTTGAAATGTCTACTGTATGTGGACTATTTTCAATTAATATACAGTCTGTCCTCCATATCCCCTTGTTTTGAGTCAACAAATTCAACCAGGTACAGACGTGAAAAGACAACTATATATATTGTACTGTGCCACCTTACATATGGGTCTTTGAGCATCTGTGGATTTTACTTATCCATGGGGGTCCTAGAATCAGTCTCCCGCTGCACCAAGGGAGGTGTTTAGTTCAGTTTTGGAGAGATCAGAAGTTATATATGAATTTTTGACTACACAGGACATGGTGTATTGTTTAAAGTTCAACTCTATATAAATATTTGACATAGATAATGAATAAATTAATCAACATTTATTTCTCAAACCAAATACATTTTCTCCAGTAATATTACGAGTCTTACTAAAACAATATTAATAACTGGAGAAAATCTAGAAAAATACTAAAAAGCATGAAAGTAAAACAAAAATGAACTATAATCCCTATAGCCAGATATAAATCATCTATTTTTACAGATTCAAACTAATAGGGTTTTATATTCTTAATGCTGTAATTAAGTTTGAAAAGACAAAGCACCTCAAACATAATGATTCTAGTTCCAGATTATTTTATAAGATGGTCCCCACTTTTCTTTCCTTCTAAAAAGTAAGAGCTTAAGTTAGTGTGACATTCCATAAGAGAAATAGTACAGGAATAAAATTATGTCAGTTGTAGCCAAATTGAGCCATAGTCAGTGTGCTGCCTTATACGCACTCACATTCAATGTAGATGATCAACTTATAAGAAGAAAAACAATGGCATGCATTCCTGAAATGTAAAATTAAGAGTCAAATCAGAATAAATAAAAATGAAAAGGTTGGCATTACCATGTTGTCTTTTCTAGCTTATAAATGTGTGTGAAAAAAGCCTAAAGATCTAGTGATATATACATTTTTAATTTTTCAGACATGTAATTGCTATTAATTATGAATTTTTTTAATGAAAAGGTCAAGCACTATGAGTATAGAAAAACCTGTTATTTCCCATCTATATTGCACTAGAACACTTACACTTATTTTGACATTTGAATGGAGTTTCAAATGGTTTAGCTTTATTTATTTTTTATTTGTTTTAAAAGATTACCATATATGTATAACATGAATCAGAAAACTCTACATTGTAACTATTTACTTTTATCTAGCTTTTCAGTTACTTTTCTTACTATGTAAACACTCTTACTATTTCCTTGGGATATGCTTCCTAATAGCTAACAAATATTTAAAAAATTGTTTAGAAATGCTTTTTGAGGCTTAGAGGTCTTCTTTCTTTTCTATTTTTGAGCCATGATTGACAACTACTATCAGAGATAAGTTATCATTCATGGTGCATAAAAATTAGAATAATTTTAAGTAATATTTAGGCATTTTGATGTATACTACAGTAAAATATTCATTCCTGACCCAAAATTACTGAAGACTGGAGACCTACTTTTGAAGAGGGAAGAAAACAAAACAAAACAAAACAAAACAGAAAACAATTAAGTATTTAGAAGAAACATCTAAAATATAAGTTTATACTTGACAAAAGAAAATATTTTTTTTAACTTTAAACAAATTTTTATTACACAAAGGTACATAATTGGATATTTCTCTGCTTTGTACACAATTATTCTTACTCTCCACAGAGTAATGGCAAGCACTAAAATCCTGATTTTAACAGAATAGTAGTAAAAATGCCTCAATGATTTAAGTTGAAAGCAGTACATTGGTACATGGCTCTTGCACTTAGTTATCAGGAATGTACAAATGTATTTTTATTCCAAAATACAAAATAAATTATCTGTAGGCGTGGACAATGACAGCAGTAAACCACTGTATTGTCAACTGAAACCAGTAACTGATGGGTATAGTGACTTTCTTGAACATCAGCCAGCCTTTTCTTCAGTCATTTCTTTCCACTGACTTCTCTGAAGTTATAGGTGAGGAAGACTGCCTTGAGCTTCCTCTCAGGTTCTCATTAATGATGGTAAAGCACCGTTCTAGGATTAGAACATACCACCACCCATGCCACCTCCCATTCCACCCATCCCACCCATTCCAGGGTCTTTCTCCTCTTCAGGAATTTCTGTGACTATGACTCTGCTGTTGTTAACAGAGAGGCTACTCCAGCAGCATCCAATAAAGCAGTTCTTACAACCTTAGTTGAATCAATGATTCCTTTTTCTACCACATTCACAAAATCTCCAAGCATAGCATCATAACCAACTTCTGAAGAGCTTTGCATGATTTTCTCAACTATCAATAATCCCTCAACACCTGCTTTCTTAGCAATGGTCATTGCAGGAATTTTGAGTGCTTTTTAAGTAATTTCTATACCATTTTTTTGACCTTCATTAGCTGGAGTTAATGAGTCCACGGCTGGAATGCACCGAAGCAAGGCACAGCCCCCGCCCAGAGCAATGCCTTCCTCAACTGCAGCTCTGGTAGCATTGAGGGCATCCGTTACTCTGTCTTTCTTTTCATTCACTTCAGCATCACTTGTTCCACCAAACTTCAGCACAGCTACTCCATCTGAGAGCTTTGCCAGCCGTTCATTTAGTTTTTCCTTTTCATATTCACTAGTTGTGATATCTAACTGCTCAATGATTTCTTGAATACGTTTTTCAATTTGAGTCTTGTCGCCTTTTCCTTTCAAGAGCATGGCATCATCTTTGGTCACAATGACTTCTCCAACTTTTCCTAAATCATGAGGCTGAACATCTTCAATATTTAGAGTCAATCCTTCTCCAAACAATGCACCACCAGCAGCAATAGCCATGTCTTTAAGCTGGTTCTTTCTATTGTCACCAAAACCAGGAGCTTTAACTGCTGCAACCTGAAGACCAACTTTTAGCCTATTCAAAACAAGTGTACTTAGAGCTTCTCCATCAACATCTTCAGCAATTATGACCAAGGGCTTACGGTGAGCATTGGCAATTTCAAGAGCAGGTTCAATGGACTGAACACTGGAAATTTTCTTTTTACTCAATAGAACATAGGCATCTTGGAATTCACATTCCTGACCTTTTGCTTTATTAACAAAGTATGGAGAAATATAACCTCGATCAAACTTCGTGCCTTCAATAATTTCTAATTCATCATTCAGTGTTTTTCCATCCTTTACTGTGATGACGCCCTTTCTTCCAACCTTTTTCATTGCATCCGAAATTATGTTGCCAATTTCTTTGTCTCCATTTGCAGAAATTGTAGCAACCTGAGCTATTTCTTCAGGGGTTGTCACAGGTTTAGACTGTTTCTTGAGTTCAGAAATTGCAGCATCAACAGCTAACATCACACCTCTCCTGATTTCCACGGGATTAGCACCTTTGCTGATCTTCGCAAAGCCTTCTTTGGCAATAGTGCCAGTACCGTAGCAGCTGTGGTGCCACCCCCAGACTCTTCATTTGTACTATTGGCGACGTCTTGAACAAGTTTAGGGCCAATATTTTTATATTTATCTTTTAAGTCAATAGACTTTGCAACGGTCACACCATCTTTTGTTACTTTAGGACTTCCCCAGCTCTGTTCAATAATTGCTGTTCTTCCCTTTGGCCCCATGGTAACGGCTACAGCATCGGCTAAAAGGTCCACACCTTGAAGCACTAAGGCTCGGGCATCTGCACCAAATTTTACATCTTTGGCATAAGCCCGAGTGAGATGAGGAGCCAGGGCCCTGGACACTGGCCCAATCTGGCAAAGGGCTTTGTGTAATCAAAGCATTTCTGCGGGGCAGAGGCAGGGCGTGAGCAGTGAGGAAGGCCATCCGTGGTGAGTGAGGGACAGAGTGCAGGGTGCACACTAGATTTTTAAGAAATGAATTCTATAGAAAGAAAAAGCACAAGACATAAAGGCAAACATTAGTTTGCTTACAATTAATACAATGTTTTAATATTTATTTCTATTTATGAAACACAAGATCCTATAAACAAAGGACAAGATACAGACAGAAAAAATTTTTTTCAAAGCACACAAACAATATAGTTTTGCTGTCCAGAATTTACAAAAATCCCTATAAATCAATTAAGTACAAAAAGAAAAATAAGTAAATTGCATAGCATTGAATCGGGTAGTGCACAGTAAAGGAAAATTAAAAAATATATTAAAAATATATATATTTTGCTCAAACTCATTACTAACCTCACTAATCAGGTTATCATTTCACACCTATCAGATTCAAATAAAAATGATATTCCAATGTTGGGCAGTAATTTGAAAAATGGGAATTCTTATTTGCGGATGAAGAGGCTGGATAACATAAGTATTCAAGAGCATTGGCTATGGCTTCAGTCACTAGTATTTCAAACCTGTTACAACCTTACAGTTATGTGCCTGGAGCAAGCTACTTTATCTGGCTGGGAGACAACTCTCCACGGGTCTGCAGCATATCTGCAGATCTTGTGAGTGTAGCACTTTGCTTAGAACTGTCTTTTCAAGGATATTTGTATAGTAAACAGTCTTTGAAGATACAGTGTCTTCCTCTAGCAAGAGAAGGGGCAGGCATGCTTACAGAATATTAGCAGAAGTTTCCTAAACTCACTATTCCTCTCGTATAATACAATCTACTGCATTTGCAAGTATTATCTGCCCCTCTTTGTGAAGCCTCGTGGCAACTGGATTTAGGAGCCAGTGCAATAAATGCTAATATGCTGAAAACTATTACTATGAGCAATAAATTGTCTTCTATAACCCAGGAGTCTCCTGTATGCTACAACTATCTATGAATCTTTGGCAGGCTAATTTGTCAGCTTGTAAGTAAGGTGAAATCTCAGACCTTCACAGTTCTTTGCAAATGTCTCTTTGCCTAATTTATTTATTTTTCTCATCTGTAATGGAGTGGGGTGTACGTGTGATATTTTCTATTCATAGGACCAGTACTATTTTACCTAAATTGAAAATATAAAATGTTTAGAACAATAGCGGGTACAGAGAAAGTGCTCAATCTGTTTCTGTGTATAGAAAGTTCTAAACAGTACAACGCTTCACTGTGTATTTTTATGACTGTATGCATATGTAATAATAGGTTTTAAAAACATGTAATAATAGACTCCATGTATGTTGCAGTTGTTAATTCTGGGAAAGTAAGAGTGGGTTAAAAGTTTACATAGGGTGCCTCAATTCTATCCTGTTTCACTGTTTTAAAAAGTATCTCTAAAGCAAATATAAAAAATATGTTAAGATTTTAAAAGGCTGGTTTTTGTATACATAGCTTTTTATTTTATTATTATGCATACTGGCCTCTGTTTTTAAAATACTTTATGAATATACATTTTGAAAATATGTGTAGGACATAACTATTTTGAATATAGGTCTAAAATAGGACCTAAAAAAATCAGGACTCTTGTATCCAATTTTCCACCTCCTTATCTTTAGTCCTGGTTTTTTTTTTCTGGTACTAAATTAGCTTACTCTATTCTGTGGTGGTTTTAAAGAAGCGCTGCTGTGGGAAGTCCCAAGGCTGGGTCACAGGGACCATGCAGCTTCCACCCCATTTGCTGGAACACTCACTCTTGGACCCTGAGCCCCCATGGGGTAAGTGAAACCACTCAGAAACATGCTGCGATTAAGCCAAATGTGGGCACTTTGGGTCACCCTAGCCATCCAGGTAAGACAAGAAGCCTGTCTGGTTCCGGATCTCAGCCATTTAGTCACCCTTCCCCTCTCCCACTCCTGTCCCCCCAGAGGCCCCTGACACTGTGTCCCATGGACAAGCGATCCCCGTTATGCCCTCTCTCCATTCCTAGAGCATCATATAAGTTTTTGTTGCTTACTAAATTTGGGGACATTTGTATGTGGCAATAGAAATCTCCTCGTTAAAATACCTGGTTTGGCCCTGGCCAGTTTGGCTCAGCGGTTAGAGCGTCGACCTGCGGTCCGTAGAGACCGGGGTTCGGTTCCCACTAAGGGCACGTACTTTGGTTGCAGTTTGTCCCGGCCCTGGTTGGTCGTGCGGGTGGCAGCCACTCGATGTGTCCCTTCACGTCGATGTTTCTCACTCTCTCTCCCTTCCTCTCTCTCCCTCCCATTCTATCTGTACAAAAAATGGAAAAAATATCCTCGGGTGAGGATAAAAAAAAAAAAAAAATACCTGGTTTGATGGGTACAATGGTGGTAAAGCTAAGGGGAGCACACATGTGATTTAAAGATATTCTGCATTTCAAAGTACGAGAGAAATCCTGCATATTGTAAGTAGAACTATGGATGGATAAGAAAGAAAATAAACAAAGAAACAGAAAACAAATGTATAGTAATATTGAACATGTTAATGTAGTGTGATATATCATCACTGTCAGAAACAAATGAAAATATTTTGAGATCAGCATCTTTAAAACCAAGATGATCATAACTGAAATGCTTCAGCATTTAATTGTTACAGGTAAGAACACAAGTAGGTCATATTTTTCATAGACCAGGGATGAATCAGGTATTATTCACAATTTTTTGAGATGTTTGAATTCTGCAGTGCTTGAAATTATATATACTGGGTATCCCCAAAAATGTATACAGGTGTCTGTAGATTCTGTTACATTTTGAAAATGAAATGTATTTTAATAAACACTGGTTTTATAATTATTCAAAGTTGTGTATACATTTTTTGGGATACACACACACACACACACACACACACACACACGTCATTGTTTTGCGTTTGATGGGTGGTTAGTAACACACACTCTATGAGTTTTCCAGTTTGAAATTCATCCTGAATCAAACTTGACCAAAATAGATTTAGATATCTTTATCATTTTACATTGAATGTCTTCAGAATTGCTTTCATTATAGCTCTATTTTCTTAAAGCAAAGCTTTAAGATAGAGCTGTATTAAATTTTATATCGTAGGTGCATTTCAGGTGTTGTTGAGGATATTGGATAATACATAATGAAGACCCACAAGAGAAATGTTGCCAACACTTTATTACCAGAACAAGGTGCGTCTGTGCAGAGTAAATGACCCCATGGTGTCATGGAGGTTATTCTTCACGCGTTGCTTTCACCACTGAGAGTTCAGAGCCAGATTTTGACCCCAGATGAAAATATGCACAGGAGGTTTTGTTCTATGTATTAACATTTTTGTTTATGATTCAATTTCTATTTTTTCTTTGCTCTAAATGTTTTACTTTTTAATCCTGTTATTACACTTGTCATTATCAGTTGCCTCAAATTCTCTTTTCTAATAGTTTTGGGAGAAAAAGAAAGAAAGAAAGAAAAGGATGGAAGGAAGGAAGGAAGGAAGGAAGGAAGGAAGGAAGGAAGGAAGGAAGGAAGGAAGGAAGGAAATTAATTTAGAGAACATTAAGCCCAGTTTTGCTTTACTATAAAACTGGACAAAGTGTACAATGTTAAGAGAAAAATCACATAAATAATTTAAGGAGTAAAAGAAAATAATTGCAAAGGACAACAGAAATTGTAGGAAACCATAAGAGAAAAGTAATAGGCAACTTAGTTTCTACATTTAAACACACAGAAGTTTTTGTGAAGTCTTCTAATCTTTTATATGCTGTGTCTGTGACCTTGGGGGCTTAAATAAGAAAAAATCATGAATAACAGTTAATTGATGGAAATGAATAGAATTGGAATGTAGGTGAAGATTTTGAGCCAAGAGCAAAAGGTCGCAAGAAAAGTAGAATTTTTGACCTGGCTGCTAACACCAGGTAATATATAGCTGGCTAGTATGAATAAAAAATGAGGGACTTTTTCATGAGATTGAAAAAGATGAATGACATTGTGAGAAGAATTCTGATTTGTCTGCTCCTGTTTCCTGACCCTTCATGTGCTGAGACACTGGGAACTTGAGGTGGGAGTAGTGAGCATTAGAAAATGCGATAATACATGCCAGGTCCTGGGGAGAACCAAGGTTCCCGGCAGGGAGAAGGGAAGAGGAAAAAAAAAAAAAAGGAAAAAGGAAAAAGAAAGATATGGGGAAGTTTGACTACTGTATAAAGTTGAATAGAATCTTTTGAAGTAATATTAGTGGTAGGGTAGGGATAGATAATTTCACAAGAGAAAGAACAATGTATCTGGTATAAGAGCAGAAGTTAGTTAGGAGATAGAAGTGGCTAAAATTTTAACAAGTGGCCAAAGAGGTGATGTGTCTTAGATGTGGGTAGAATTAAGTGGCCCATGAGATTTTGAGTAAAACTTTGGCAACACTTTAAAAAAATGTTAAAAATTCTAAAGTTAGAATTATTTACAAGTAAGAGTCAATAAGATCTGAAAGGTCTTAGAGACCTTCATACAATAAGAAATAATAGGACTAATCATAAAGTACTAGAACTACACCTGTCTTTGAAAAGGCGACATTTCAGTGACTCTACAGTGTGCTTATACTCCTTGACTTTTGCAGTGTCTTAGTTTGAGCTGCTATAACAGAACTATAGACTGGGTTGTTTAACAACAGAAACTTGTTTCTCACAGTTCTGGAGGCTGGAGGTCTCCAGACATCCAGACATAGAGGATGCCATCCTGGTCAGGTTCTGGTGAAACCCTTGTCCTGGTTTGCAGACGAGGGCCTCGTTGTATCCTCAAAAGGGTGAGAGACAGAGATCATGTCTCTCCTCAGTCTTCTTAAAGGGCACTAGTCCCATATGAGGGATCCATTCTCATGACCTAGTTACCTGGCCCCACCTCCAGACACCACCACATTGGGGATTAGGCTTCAACATATGAATCTGAGGGAAAACATTCAGTCCATAGCACCAGGTGCATAATTGTATTGGTGCTAA